AAGACATATATGGTCAACCCTTTCAAAAGCTTTTGAGAAATCAAGGTAAATGATGTCAACCCTCCCCTTGCGATCAAAGATGCTTGCACATCTGTCCATTGCAGTTAACAGTTTGGTTATACAAGAGCAACCCTTCCTGAAACCATGTTTTTGGGGTAAGAAATTTAAGGACAGTAAATAGTCATGTATACCATCGCATATCAGGGACTCCATGATTTTTGAAGGAAAATATTCAGAATTTGTCATGGTTGTTGTTATCGCTTTGGTTACATAGTTTTCTTGTTACAGGCTAAGAACTTAAAGTTGATGTCGTCTTTCTTTCTTAAAGCCCGAACATGTACGTTCTCTCCAATCCCAATCTTCATTATTGGAAGCGGAAGTTGAGGCACTGAATGCACACGTCAGTCGTCTGGAAAAAGAACGCTTGGTTTTAATTGCTAAAAAAGATCAAATTACAGACAACTTCTTCCGCTTGGGACTTGCTTGTCGCAGAGAGATAGAGAAGCTAAAGTCACAAATCAAATTACTTTGCACGAAGTAAGTAGATTTGTAAGATTTTTATCAATCGTGTGGACTCTAGTTTCATGCTTCGACCGTAAAATATGATATCTAACGTGGCTTGGCGGTTTCGTTCGAGTTTTAAGTCTATCTATATTTTGGTTCTTAGTTCAAACTATTCAGAGAAACCATCCTAACTACCTCAATTTATAGATCATAGGTCAGTTAACCTGGCGTCTCAGTCACATTTTCTTAAAGCTTATCAACAATACATCTTTCGCTCTGCTAGTCTTGTTGACTATAGGCTTCTGGGAAACAATTCAAATAATTTCTGGCTACTATCTGATGACAGCTTACTATCTGCCATTTCTCATGGTTATTGTGTGACGTTTAATTCAGTGCGTAAACTATTTTGGCTCTGTCAGGGTAACGAGTAACTACAGTTCAGAAGTCACGCGGAATAAAGTGGCAGTCTTCTACCTATCTAACCTAACAATGACCCACAGTGATTTATCTGTGACTTTGTATCTGCGGTCATCAAGTCAATTAGCTTAGTGTTGAAAGGAAATTGTTGGTTGTCGAAATGAAATCATAAGAGACGTGTTCCTCAAATATGAGAAAATCGCCTATTACTAAGACTTTCCTTGAAACTTACCCGATATGCTATCTATCCTATTTTAAATAGGGTTTTTAGGTTGAGTGCTTTACTGTGTAGTTAACAGTATGCTTTTAGCCAAGCATGAGTGGTATTTCAATTTACTGAAATCGACATTAGCTGTTACATGTTTGGAACTCATATGTGTTGTGACGGCGGCTACCTCGCCTAGCCACGCGGCGGAAGGTTACATCCTCTTAAGATATATGTCACGTCTTCCACATTCCTATCCAGCTGTCAGTATGACTTCATCCCTGATATCACCACACGTTACTGTAAATACTACATGACGAAAATTGAACCTGTGAAGTGTATCCGATGTGTTTAATCCAATAATTTCCCGATTAGTCAACACTATATTCTCTGTTATCTCTACATTATATTTATTACTCTTAGTACTGTTTTCTTTTTGCTTTCTCTGCGCTGACGCAGCGTTGCATTAGTCACAACAAGTTTTACGTTACTCATGCCTGTTTTAGTGATGCTAATATACAATTACTGCATTCACAGTTGTGGTTGTGAGCATGCGTCATCCTAAAATGAAGGATAGAGATTGATCAATTGATGCAAAATGATACAATGTTAGCGAACGATGACTACTCGGTGATTGTACTCAATTTAACAGAAATAATAAGGACTGAACAAGATTGCCTCTTTAATTTAATTTAAGTGTAAACTTTGGTTACTTACAGAAACGATGAAATATTCAGAGAACTGAGAGTAAATAATAGGTTTCTGAGTATCCGTTCGATTTAGAACTTCAAATATTAAACAGATTCCTATCCCTCATGACGGTAATCATATACTGTTTGGTCTCTTAGATAGACAGTATTGTAGTTTAATGTTTTAAAAACTCAATTTGGAGTCTTCTTTGTTAAGCCAATTATCATGTTATGTATAAGATACCTGCCACTTATTTCAGTTTGTCAATATATTAATGGTCGATTTAGCAGTCCTTTTTTACCTCACTTAAACATTTTTAATAAGTGTTTATTTGAATGCTACATTTTATGTTGATGAATGCACCCGCCCCAACATTTTTTCAAGACAATTTTTACCCAAAAGGTAGATTGTAGCAATTAATTGGTGCTGGGCCTTTATGGATGTATTTGTCAACTTTTTGGTGAACAGTCATAAGATAGAGTATTGCGATAGTTGTTATTTATATTCTCTAAGCCTGTCGTCTATGATGAAAACAGTCAAAAATAAGGAAACTGGCATGATCTGACACAATTATTATTATTCGATCACATAAACATTGGTACAAGGAGGCACCGAATACATATGCGCCACACAATAACAATGAGACCAGTAGTAGTTATCACTGATTCGTGTGAGGGCTGTGACACTGCTCGGGTGCCCGAATCGAAGCAGGTGGTTATCTTTTGGTGCCCCACACCGACTCTTTGACCTGAAGGTCTAATCCACAAGGCAGTGGAGCAACATTAGGAGATGCAGTCCCATGGTAGCCAGTGACCAACAATAGGTTCATACTCCATCTTTTCCCTCGGGATCCTGGCGCTCATCTGCACCATTGGTTAGGAATCAGGTTTTTCCAACTCCCCTAGGTGGACCTTCTGTGACCACCAACCCGGTTAAAGAGCCGGACATTCGCTTTTCGTCCGTTCAATTTCGTAAATCACAGTAATGCCACAAGAAGGCAGTGGGTAGGACTTCCCTGAGAGTGTCTGTATACACGTAGCCATGTGAGAGTATCTCGAGTGTGAGAGCGGACTCTCCCCACCCTCGACCATCCCAGGGCATTTGGGGACAAATAATTTTGCTACCAACCATTCGTAGATGGATTTGAATATTAAGAGATGCACCATTGCTACCAAAGCTAAATGATATAGTAATATGTTCTTGGTGGACAAGCAATCATCATTTATACTAGAAAGCAATATAACTGAGGAAGACAACCATTTTATTCCTCATGGTTTGCTGATCATCGTAAATATACCATTTCATGCAATAGTTCATACGCAGGTTATTGGTATAATCGCAGAGTACTTTTAATTCGACTGGCAACATTGGGAGGCCATCTGTTGGTTGAACATAATACATTTTAGCTACTCACAAATTCTATAAAAGCTAAATTGTACGAAAAAATAACTTCGGACAATGTTAATGTTCTGATTTCTAGTTCCAGCTAATAATGACTCAGATGAGCAATAAAGTAAATACCTTTATAAAAATGTATCTCTATGCAAGGGAAATATATGAGGAAGACTTGGTCTGACTGTCTTTTCCAAACAGCATCATTCAATTTAAAAGGATATCCAAGACCACTTATTTGGTACAGAAGTACATCATGCTATCGTAAATTTAGGTTTCTAATCAAGTCAATATTGTAGCTTTCACCCATTAAAGATATTCCATCCCATAAGCTGATCTCTCATACAGTAGGCTGTTGCAGCTGATATCCGACCAACGGACATTGAGTATCTTGTTTAGACGATTGTTCATAAATACATGTACATTTTTGATGATGATTGTAGTAGTTCTTTAAGTTTCAGTTCCGTACAGTAGAACTGTCTTGACGTTCGTATTGAAGACCGTAACTTTGATATTGTTTGATAGTCGTTTTGATTTCCATATGTTCTTCAACTGTAAGAATGCAGCCATTACTCTGCCAATCTTTGCCTTTAAGTCTGCATCACATCCTCCCTGTTCAACGATAGTGCTGCACGGGCACGTAAGAGTTTTCACCCCTTCCTGAGTTTCTCTACCAAGTGTGATAATGTTGGTGTTCTCTGTGTTGTATTTGAGGACCTTGCTTTTTCCCTTGTGTATGTTGAAGCCTACTGATGCAGAGGCTTCTGCTACACTGGCTGTCTTCATTTGCATTTGTTGCTGTGTACGGCATAGAAGAGCCAGGTCATCTGCAAAGTCCAAATCGTCTAATTGCACCCAAGCTATCCGTTGTATTCTGTGTTTCCTTTCAGATGTAGAGGTCTTCATAATCCATCCAACCACCAGAAGAAAGAGAAAGAGGGAGAACAAACAGCCTTGTCTGACTCCGGTCCTCACCTGGAATACGTTTGTCAGCTGTCCTCCATGCACGACTTTGCACTGCACTCCGTCGTATGAATTCCGGATGATGGTGACGATTTTCTCAGGTACGCCATAGTGTCAAAGAAGGTCCCACAAGGTCCTCCTATCTACACTGTCAAAGGCTTCCTCATAATCAAGGAAGTTGATGTATAGTGACGAGTTTCACTCAGTTGGTTGTTCAATGATGATCCGTAGTGTCGTGATTTGGTCTGTGCACGACCGATCCTTATGGAATCCGGCGTATTGATCTCGAAGTTGGGCATCTACTGAATCTTTCATCCGGGTCAGCAACACTGAAAACTTTTCCTGGTACCAACAGTAGTGTAATGCCTTGATAGTTTTCATATTTGCTCAAATCTCCTTTGTTCTGTATATTGACCAGATATCTTTCTTCCAAGTCAGTCGGTGGCACTTATTCCTCCTCCCAAATCTTTGTGAATAAAAGGTGAAGCATGTTTGCAGTTACTCTTATGTCTGACTTCAGTGCTTCAGCTGGTATATTGTCAGATCCTGCTGCTTTCTCACTCTTGATTTGTCTGATGGTCATCCAGATCTCTTCGATCGTTGATGGAGTGACATCTATGGGAAGGTCTGTGTGTGCTGCTTCGATGTCCGGTGGATTCAATGGAGCTGGTCTATTCAACAGTTCCTCGGAATATTCTACCCATCCATTCATCTGTTCCTGGATATGATAGACGGATAAAATATTCATGTTTTGGTGTTTTTGAGATCTTTCAAACACACACTTCAAGAATCACAACCAGTCATTTCTCTTCCGCAAAGTTTGACATTTGTAATGTTATAGCGCTATTTAGGCGGTCTAATCCGTAATTGACGCTACCGACTTCGGAGTTCTTTTTCTAGCCAGGTCGCTGGTTAGGGATGACTGACCTCGATCTTTATAGTGAAATTGTAGCTGAAGATGATGAAAAAAGACTGGAATATCTGTGCAGTTTCGATGTGGTATCAAAGTTTTCATGAAATTTGTTTTACTGATTTTTATAAATTTTTCGGACTGTTACTTTGATTCGTTATATCTAGTTTTAAGGCAGCAAGACGCCGCAAGCATCAGTTCCAGTCTCAAGTTTACTTAAGTATCATGGGGCCAACTTGTTTCGACCGTTCTCATGATCAGCGTGAAATTAGACATTGTTTTACATTAAAAGATTTCTTATTGAGAAACGGCTGAACCAGAAATAATTTAAGGTAGTTTGTCGAAAATCGTTTGATATCGTCGTGTCTTACAAATAAGTCACATTTTGTGTGGCAAGGAGCGTGTAGGCAGTTATCAAATTACAGTCCTTAGATCATACCTGATTAAATGATTTCAAATGGTTGTGGTCGAAATAGAAGCAACTTTCGCTTAACAGGCTTCCGTGTCTAGTAGCAGGGGATCACCAATGCCTCCAGGCAGGAACCTAGGTATATTAACTATAATAGATCAGAAAAAAAGAAATTGGTAACTCATGATAAAATAATATCCTTAGTCTTTAAGAATAGGTCAAGTTTCCTCTTCAAGGACTCCTGGAAAGTCGCTTGGAATAGTTCAGTCGGCAGCGAATTCCAGCATTTGACAACTCTTAAGGAGCAGAAGTTGTGTCTACAGTCCATTCTGCTGTGTTGTATCTCCACTTTCCTGGTGTTACCCCATAGGTTTGTATTGGGACTAAGCTTAATTAGGTGTTTAAGGGGATGTCCAGGAGTGCTAAGGGTACTGTAAGCCATCAGAAGGTCACCTTTAAGACGCCTATACTCTAATGGGTAGAGGTTAAGTGATTGGAGGCGCTCTTCATAAGGTTTGAATGAGTCCCCGAACTAATTTTGTGGCTCGCCGTTGGATAGGCTCCAGAATGTCCCTATCCTTTTGGAGGGGAGAGAAATACTATGTTTCCGTACTCTAAATGGGGACGAATAAAACTGTTGAAGATTATGTGGAAAGTTCTTCCGTCACACTGGCCGAAAATGCGCTTTAACGTTACCAGTGCAAGGTTTGCTCGAAAGGCATTTTTGTCACGGCTAGCGTAAGACTTCAAATCACAGGGTATCAGGACTCCTAAATTTTCTTCGACTCGAGATACTACTAGGGAGGAGTTTCTTAAGTTGTAACTAGTCTGAGACTTGTCTCAGATGGACTACTTTACACTTTGAAAGTGTTAAAGGTAAGTCCGTTGTCGTCTGCCAAACTTTGAAGTCGAGTCAGATCCTCCTGAATTGTCTGTATATCGTCTTGGTTGCGTATCTCTTTCAAAAGTAACACGTCATCAGAAAAACGTAATAAGTCCGACGATACCTGTTATGGAAGATTGTTTATATAAATGAAGAAGAGAGGAGGTCCTAGTACTGAACTCTGAGGGACCTCACTAGAATATTCCATAGCCTGAGATAAAGTGAAGTTAACCTCGACCTTAAAATGTCGGCTTTTTTAGATATGAAGTGAGCCAATCAATTAGAGGTGGTCTGATACCCAATTATTTGAGCTTATGGATAAGACATATATGGTCAACCCTTTCAAAAGCTTTTGAGAAATCAAGGTAAATGATGTCAACCCTCCCCTTGCGATCAAAGATGCTTGCACATCTGTCCATTGCAGTTAACAGTTTGGTTATACAAGAGCAACCCTTCCTGAAACCATGTTTTTGGGGTAAGAAATTTAAGGACAGTAAATAGTCATGTATACCATCGCATATCAGGGACTCCATGATTTTTGAAGGAAAATATTCAGAATTTGTCATGGTTGTTGTTATCGCTTTGGTTACATAGTTTTCTTGTTACAGGCTAAGAACTTAAAGTTGATGTCGTCTTTCTTTCTTAAAGCCCGAACATGTACGTTCTCTCCAATCCCAATCTTCATTATTGGAAGCGGAAGTTGAGGCACTGAATGCACACGTCAGTCGTCTGGAAAAAGAACGCTTGGTTTTAATTGCTAAAAAAGATCAAATTACAGACAACTTCTTCCGCTTGGGACTTGCTTGTCGCAGAGAGATAGAGAAGCTAAAGTCACAAATCAAATTACTTTGCACGAAGTAAGTAGATTTGTAAGATTTTTATCAATCGTGTGGACTCTAGTTTCATGCTTCGACCGTAAAATATGATATCTAACGTGGCTTGGCGGTTTCGTTCGAGTTTTAAGTCTATCTATATTTTGGTTCTTAGTTCAAACTATTCAGAGAAACCATCCTAACTACCTCAATTTATAGATCATAGGTCAGTTAACCTGGCGTCTCAGTCACATTTTCTTAAAGCTTATCAACAATACATCTTTCGCTCTGCTAGTCTTGTTGACTATAGGCTTCTGGGAAACAATTCAAATAATTTCTGGCTACTATCTGATGACAGCTTACTATCTGCCATTTCTCATGGTTATTGTGTGACGTTTAATTCAGTGCGTAAACTATTTTGGCTCTGTCAGGGTAACGAGTAACTACAGTTCAGAAGTCACGCGGAATAAAGTGGCAGTCTTCTACCTATCTAACCTAACAATGACCCACAGTGATTTATCTGTGACTTTGTATCTGCGGTCATCAAGTCAATTAGCTTAGTGTTGAAAGGAAATTGTTGGTTGTCGAAATGAAATCATAAGAGACGTGTTCCTCAAATATGAGAAAATCGCCTATTACTAAGACTTTCCTTGAAACTTACCCGATATGCTATCTATCCTATTTTAAATAGGGTTTTTAGGTTGAGTGCTTTACTGTGTAGTTAACAGTATGCTTTTAGCCAAGCATGAGTGGTATTTCAATTTACTGAAATCGACATTAGCTGTTACATGTTTGGAACTCATATGTGTTGTGACGGCGGCTACCTCGCCTAGCCACGCGGCGGAAGGTTACATCCTCTTAAGATATATGTCACGTCTTCCACATTCCTATCCAGCTGTCAGTATGACTTCATCCCTGATATCACCACACGTTACTGTAAATACTACATGACGAAAATTGAACCTGTGAAGTGTATCCGATGTGTTTAATCCAATAATTTCCCGATTAGTCAACACTATATTCTCTGTTATCTCTACATTATATTTATTACTCTTAGTACTGTTTTCTTTTTGCTTTCTCTGCGCTGACGCAGCGTTGCATTAGTCACAACAAGTTTTACGTTACTCATGCCTGTTTTAGTGATGCTAATATACAATTACTGCATTCACAGTTGTGGTTGTGAGCATGCGTCATCCTAAAATGAAGGATAGAGATTGATCAATTGATGCAAAATGATACAATGTTAGCGAACGATGACTACTCGGTGATTGTACTCAATTTAACAGAAATAATAAGGACTGAACAAGATTGCCTCTTTAATTTAATTTAAGTGTAAACTTTGGTTACTTACAGAAACGATGAAATATTCAGAGAACTGAGAGTAAATAATAGGTTTCTGAGTATCCGTTCGATTTAGAACTTCAAATATTAAACAGATTCCTATCCCTCATGACGGTAATCATATACTGTTTGGTCTCTTAGATAGACAGTATTGTAGTTTAATGTTTTAAAAACTCAATTTGGAGTCTTCTTTGTTAAGCCAATTATCATGTTATGTATAAGATACCTGCCACTTATTTCAGTTTGTCAATATATTAATGGTCGATTTAGCAGTCCTTTTTTACCTCACTTAAACATTTTTAATAAGTGTTTATTTGAATGCTACATTTTATGTTGATGAATGCACCCGCCCCAACATTTTTTCAAGACAATTTTTACCCAAAAGGTAGATTGTAGCAATTAATTGGTGCTGGGCCTTTATGGATGTATTTGTCAACTTTTTGGTGAACAGTCATAAGATAGAGTATTGCGATAGTTGTTATTTATATTCTCTAAGCCTGTCGTCTATGATGAAAACAGTCAAAAATAAGGAAACTGGCATGATCTGACACAATTATTATTATTCGATCACATAAACATTGGTACAAGGAGGCACCGAATACATATGCGCCACACAATAACAATGAGACCAGTAGTAGTTATCACTGATTCGTGTGAGGGCTGTGACACTGCTCGGGTGCCCGAATCGAAGCAGGTGGTTATCTTTTGGTGCCCCACACCGACTCTTTGACCTGAAGGTCTAATCCACAAGGCAGTGGAGCAACATTAGGAGATGCAGTCCCATGGTAGCCAGTGACCAACAATAGGTTCATACTCCATCTTTTCCCTCGGGATCCTGGCGCTCATCTGCACCATTGGTTAGGAATCAGGTTTTTCCAACTCCCCTAGGTGGACCTTCTGTGACCACCAACCCGGTTAAAGAGCCGGACATTCGCTTTTCGTCCGTTCAATTTCGTAAATCACAGTAATGCCACAAGAAGGCAGTGGGTAGGACTTCCCTGAGAGTGTCTGTATACACGTAGCCATGTGAGAGTATCTCGAGTGTGAGAGCGGACTCTCCCCACCCTCGACCATCCCAGGGCATTTGGGGACAAATAATTTTGCTACCAACCATTCGTAGATGGATTTGAATATTAAGAGATGCACCATTGCTACCAAAGCTAAATGATATAGTAATATGTTCTTGGTGGACAAGCAATCATCATTTATACTAGAAAGCAATATAACTGAGGAAGACAACCATTTTATTCCTCATGGTTTGCTGATCATCGTAAATATACCATTTCATGCAATAGTTCATACGCAGGTTATTGGTATAATCGCAGAGTACTTTTAATTCGACTGGCAACATTGGGAGGCCATCTGTTGGTTGAACATAATACATTTTAGCTACTCACAAATTCTATAAAAGCTAAATTGTACGAAAAAATAACTTCGGACAATGTTAATGTTCTGATTTCTAGTTCCAGCTAATAATGACTCAGATGAGCAATAAAGTAAATACCTTTATAAAAATGTATCTCTATGCAAGGGAAATATATGAGGAAGACTTGGTCTGACTGTCTTTTCCAAACAGCATCATTCAATTTAAAAGGATATCCAAGACCACTTATTTGGTACAGAAGTACATCATGCTATCGTAAATTTAGGTTTCTAATCAAGTCAATATTGTAGCTTTCACCCATTAAAGATATTCCATCCCATAAGCTGATCTCTCATACAGTAGGCTGTTGCAGCTGATATCCGACCAACGGACATTGAGTATCTTGTTTAGACGATTGTTCATAAATACATGTACATTTTTGATGATGATTGTAGTAGTTCTTTAAGTTTCAGTTCCGTACAGTAGAACTGTCTTGACGTTCGTATTGAAGACCGTAACTTTGATATTGTTTGATAGTCGTTTTGATTTCCATATGTTCTTCAACTGTAAGAATGCAGCCATTACTCTGCCAATCTTTGCCTTTAAGTCTGCATCACATCCTCCCTGTTCAACGATAGTGCTGCACGGGCACGTAAGAGTTTTCACCCCTTCCTGAGTTTCTCTACCAAGTGTGATAATGTTGGTGTTCTCTGTGTTGTATTTGAGGACCTTGCTTTTTCCCTTGTGTATGTTGAAGCCTACTGATGCAGAGGCTTCTGCTACACTGGCTGTCTTCATTTGCATTTGTTGCTGTGTACGGCATAGAAGAGCCAGGTCATCTGCAAAGTCCAAATCGTCTAATTGCACCCAAGCTATCCGTTGTATTCTGTGTTTCCTTTCAGATGTAGAGGTCTTCATAATCCATCCAACCACCAGAAGAAAGAGAAAGAGGGAGAACAAACAGCCTTGTCTGACTCCGGTCCTCACCTGGAATACGTTTGTCAGCTGTCCTCCATGCACGACTTTGCACTGCACTCCGTCGTATGAATTCCGGATGATGGTGACGATTTTCTCAGGTACGCCATAGTGTCAAAGAAGGTCCCACAAGGTCCTCCTATCTACACTGTCAAAGGCTTCCTCATAATCAAGGAAGTTGATGTATAGTGACGAGTTTCACTCAGTTGGTTGTTCAATGATGATCCGTAGTGTCGTGATTTGGTCTGTGCACGACCGATCCTTATGGAATCCGGCGTATTGATCTCGAAGTTGGGCATCTACTGAATCTTTCATCCGGGTCAGCAACACTGAAAACTTTTCCTGGTACCAACAGTAGTGTAATGCCTTGATAGTTTTCATATTTGCTCAAATCTCCTTTGTTCTGTATATTGACCAGATATCTTTCTTCCAAGTCAGTCGGTGGCACTTATTCCTCCTCCCAAATCTTTGTGAATAAAAGGTGAAGCATGTTTGCAGTTACTCTTATGTCTGACTTCAGTGCTTCAGCTGGTATATTGTCAGATCCTGCTGCTTTCTCACTCTTGATTTGTCTGATGGTCATCCAGATCTCTTCGATCGTTGATGGAGTGACATCTATGGGAAGGTCTGTGTGTGCTGCTTCGATGTCCGGTGGATTCAATGGAGCTGGTCTATTCAACAGTTCCTCGGAATATTCTACCCATCTGTTTCTTTGTTCTTGAATCTCGGTAGTTGTCTTGCCTTCGTTGTCCTTGACCGGTCTCTCTGGTTTACTATATCTTCCTGCTGGTTTCTTCGTTGTATCATGTAGTTGTTTCATATTTCCTTCTCTTTCAACTTTTTCCACCGTCGTTGCTACTTATTCTACTTATTTCTGCTTGTCGGCTCTAATTCTCCTTTTCACTTGATTGTTTTCTTCTGTGTATTCAGTTTTGTGTCTTGGCTTTCTATGTTGTTGTACTGCTGTTGTTGGTTGCTCTGTTCTTGTTCTTCCTTTCTTGAAACTTGCTTAGTGTTTCCATAGAGATTCATTTCTTATGTTGATGCTTTTTACGTCGCAGAACCTTTTGATACGTTGAAGTTAGTGCTTCTTTAACTCTTTTACGATTGTCCTCTATAGTTGTTTCTTCTTTGAATAGATCTTGTAGGGCTTGGAACCTGTTGTTGAGAGTTATCTTGAATTCGTTGTGTTGGCCAGTATTTCAATCTGATTGTCTGTAGTGTGATCTGGTGAGACCCATGTAGCTTTGTGTATGCATTTGTGGGGGAATATTGTGCCACCTATAACCATTTTGTTGAATGTACATAAATTTTCAAATCTGTCACCGTTATAGTTCCTTTCTCTCAGTCAGTCCATATCGTCCCATGCTATGTTCATACTCACTGTTGTTCATTCCGACTTTGGCATTTAAGTCTCCCATCAGGGTGGTCAGGTTGTTTCCTGAGCACTTCGCTATTATTTATTGCAGCCCCTCGTAAAACTGATATTTATCATCTTCACTGCTATTATTGGTGGGTGCATAACACTGGGTAACATTCATTGTGATCCCCTCCTTTGTTTTGAAAGGTGCTTTGATGATCCTGGATCCATGAAATCCCCGTCCTTTAAGTGCTTTACGTGCCTTTTTGGATAGCATCAGAGCAACTCATTGAGTGTGCGAAACATTTTCTTCTTGATCAAAGTACAGCAGCATTTCTCTTGAATTTAACCTCGTCTATCCAGCTTGGGTCCATTGGGTTTCGCTGATTCCGAGCACCGTCAAGTTGTATATCCTAATTTCTACAGCTATTTGACTGATCCTCCTGGTCTCTCACATTGTCCGGACATCCCACGTACCTAAATTAGTTATTGCTCTGGTTGTTAGAAGAGGCATCAACCTCGTGACTTCCGAAGAATATCGGCTTTCATCATGAAGCGCCATATTTCCTTCATTTCAGAGGGCAAAGTTTGAATTATTTGCTTCGGTTACTCTGATTAACGTTTTTTCGCAAGCTTTTTTCTACAGGATGGGGTTACTGACCCCATACCTAACCCTCCTCTGTGTGGGCTTAGGACCAGCAGTAACCCTAGAAGAGCTTCAGGCATTTACGAACTTGGCTAGTCAGCTAAATACTACGGTCGGAATACTGAATTAAATGTAGAACAATAAAGACATTAATGAAAGGGTCTGAACAAACCTCACTACCCTCAACAAAATTTATCACTTCAAAGAGGTGCAATGCGAGATAATGTTCTTTCAGTCTCTCACTTTCACAATAATTCTGGAGTTCCATAGTCTAACTCATATGTTTTCCCATCTGCATAAAGCTACAAACTACATAACGTAGGAGTTTATACTATAGTATAGGAATTCAATCTGATTCACTTTATTATAGAACAGAAAAAGGAAATTCACAATAAAATGAAAGCCATAAAATAAGTGATTTTCATGTATATTGAAAAGTTAATAAATACATTCTCACTGTTCTAATCGATTTCGAGCCGTGTTACTTACGGTCTTCATAGATTAAGTACTGAGTTATGAAAGGTTTCACCCAGAAATAGGACACTTGTCTACACAGCCTAAACTAAAATGAAGTAACTTTATGGATTGATTCAATGTTTATGTCTATCCACTAACATAATTTCTGCAACACAATGACTTGAACTAGCATTGTTCTAGAGTTGAAGGTCACTCAACGTATTCAACATATTCTCTGACCGCTTGGGTGAACCAAAGTTCAAAATATCATCAAGTATCACTTCCTTCCTGCTTTTGACTCTGCCTAACTTGAAGTGGTTTTAGCCGCATCACCATAAACAGTTAACATTTTTCCTATTTTGCTGTCTAAATTATGTAAAGTTGGACAGTCGTTTCCTAATCTCCATACTTCTCAAATGTCGTAATTCATATTTTCGTTTGTGCAATGTAAAACTTTGATCCTAGATATAGGGTTCCGGAGCCAAAAGCGGTTAGCCAAAAGAATTTGAATTGTGATACCCAAATAAACCCCGAGAAGCAGAATTACTACACGGATCTAGTAGCATATTTACATTCTGATCGTCCACCTATCAATATATACTCTGGTAACAATATGCCGAATAGGAATCTTAATGTTGTTTCAAAGTGCGATGCAGTTACACAGACTGAACATGTTAAAAAATATAATTCACATTCATCTGGGTCTTCTTTCGGTTCACAGTCATCACGTTCAGTGTCTTCAAGCTCATCATCATCATCTACGTCATCTTCCAGTTCTACTAGTCAGGACCAACCTACGTCTCAAACTGGTTTAATGAATAATGGACTCTCACATAGCTTTCTAGACCCATCTGTAGATGGTAAATCGTTACTATCCCATTCACTATCTGTAGTTGATGTGGGTGGAAAGAATCTAGAGAATTGTGGATGCCGTGACTCAGTTAAACATGGAGTGTATGAGAAATCCTGTGAACTCAAGCAAAATAGTGCTTTATCTGGAAGTTCACGTGTCAATAAACGGCTAAATCGCTCTAATAAGAAATCCGGAGATAAAAGTATACCAGCTTATAATGCGGATAAACAACTTCCTATTGCTGACGAATGTAGGCGCAAATATACTAAAACAATTCATGGGCAGTTCTTTTCTAAATCTCATTGCTTTCATCAAAGGAAACAAAAAGATGATGAAGTTGCAAGTAATCCAGGAAGAAAAACAGACACATCATCAGAAAGCAGAATTTTATCAATGCGAGGAGTCAGAAAATTTTCATCGCCACTAAACAATAGTATAAACAAACACCCTTCTGTTCGAAGTTCTACTTCAAAGGACTTTAGAATGGTTCAACATGTTTCTCCTTCCTTACCTAGACTCACTCAAAGTAAGACTAATGAATCTTGTAAGTTTTTAGTATAAATTTAAATACTCTTATGCTCACTGTGAACACTAGCAGCCTAAGATCATCATGGAATATCGTATGTAGCGTATTTCATAAGCTGAACACAAGTTTAATGCAGAGTTTCAATAAAATGCAATTCACGATACGAGTTTTGTCATTGAAAAAAAGTTTTTTAGATAATTATGCATAAAATCAATTTCATTTTATCTTAACTTTAATAATCATTTTAGGAGTAGTTACATAAACGACAACTTGTTTGATAAATTTAATGTTTGGGTGGTTTGTTGATTCGGTTACAAGTTTAAAACTTATCTTATTTGGGTCTAATTTCAATATAAGAACTAAATCAAAAGCCAACGTTCATATCTTCATATGCACACCTATACATGGGTACTCAGTTACATGTATAAAAAAAATTGGTGTCAACGCCTTGATTATTTATGTTGGTAAATACTTGCTGATAAAAAATAAAATAAGATTAATATTCTCCTTAGGTCGTTTTAAGGCTGTATTATCTAAAGCACATCTAAAATTCACTCTTAAGTATGTTCTTTTTTATTTTGATAAAGTTGTAAAAATGCAATCATTTCTCTCTCTCTCATAAATTACATGCTTGAATTTAACTGCACTTACCAATGTTTAAGTAATTTATAAGTGTTATTAATTTTGTCACAAAGTTGCGTGTTTTAGTTCACTGAGCCACAACGTTTTCGTCTTTACTTGAGTTTTCTCCATTACATCAATGGTTTATTGTGCTTGTGGATTTGAGTTCCGACAAATCACTATCATAGTTATCAGTTATCTTACTCTTTTGATTGCATGACTACCCTCGTCTGGTAGGGAAACTGCTTGTGATGTTAATCTACAGATAATACGTTCAATGAACATGCTCAAAATCGGAATATCCACATCGTTTCCTTGCCATCACTTTTCATTTTTGGTTGCTGTAAACAGGTCTTATTAAAGAAATAATCGTTTCTCGTTTAGTTTCGTCTTCTGAGATCATACTTTCGCAGTTTTAAGCCTCTGTACACTTAAAGTAATAAAGAAAAATACATTATCTCAAAAAGCTATGAAATGTTAACATGTAACTGAGTGGACTCCATTAACTGCTAAGTAGACGAATATTTACATTTTAAATTGAGGAGAAAATGACTGGCGTTTTGATAAATGACTCGGTTTTATTGATAGTAGAATGCTGTTTAGTTGTGATTATTGAAACCATATGGAGAGATAGCATAGAGAATTGGCATTTCTTGTTATTTTCTGTGTGGAACCCCTAGCAGCTTCTACAAACCTGAAATGTGATGTTAAGTATACAAGAAGTCTCTTGTTGTGCTTAATTCTCATTCTTTACTAAATTTATAGCATCACAGTTAAACGAATAGCAGAATTAAATGACGGTAATATGTCTAGATCAGGGAGCTTATTTTATTTATAGAAGCTAAATAACTTTGTCTATATTTGTCAATGGAATCACTTCTAGTTTCTTTTTCAAGTCTGACCCACGATTACATGGAGGACAAATCCTATCCATAGTAACCACCTGTAAGGTGTTTATAAGATGTCTTTCCTCCTAAGGTGATGACCTATACTAAAATCTGCTAACTTCGAATCCTCTTTGATTTATTCTGTTCTGATTGAGATCATGAACGGGTCAATGTTAGACGACTATTGAAAACCTGAAAGCACTACCGAGGAGTTCCATACTAGGACGAAACGGTCGTTCAGTGCCTCCAGGTTTTCAATGTTCGTCCAACATTGATCCATTCATGATCTCAATCAAAACTCAACAATCTCCACAACACTACACTGATTATTCTGTTTTGTTGTAATCATATTCAAGTGGTGAGTAGTTTGTTGTCGTTGCTGTCTGTTTAGACCTATTGTATGTATGTAATCCAGAAATTAAAACACCTCGTTCATTATAATAACTGGCATATTTCCATGATAAGAATGTGAACTTATTAGATCGTGTTCTTAATCAAACCTGATACTATGTAAATGCATTTAAAATATCTTTCGATCAATCGCTTTTATACAGGTATTAACTACATAGAAGTATACCTTGTGATTCTACTGCCAACCAACTGTTTGGAATTTCATCTGTATATCTAAATGGGATAAACAGGTCGTAAGTGTAAGAAGTATGGCAAACACTTTTAGCCTTTTCACAGATTGAAATCATGAGTCAGTTGATGCTAGACCACCATTGAAAACCTGGAAGCACTGGACGGCCGTTTCGTCCTGGTGTGGGACTCCTCAGCAGTGCGCATCCACGAACCCGCCCCCTGCGGGATTCGAACCCAGGACCTACTGGCTTCGCGCGCGAGCACTTAACCATTAGACCACTGAGCCGGCATCCAACGATGTTAATGTCTAACTTCAACCAATCCACGAAGTTGCGCTACCGTACACTATTGTCTTTAGTGAGTTCCTATCTCACAACAGACCTGGTTGAACTCCACTGGTAACGACTTCTCACTAGAACTCCAGAAGTGTCTCCTGAAGTCAGTCACTAGTGAGCAGGTGATTATTATTATCAGAATGTGTTTTGTGGAGATTTTTGGAAATTTTCACAGATTGAAATCATGAGTCAGTTGAAGCTAGACCACCATTGAAAACCTGGAAGCACTGGACGGCCGTTTCGTCCTGGTATGGGACTCCTCAGCAGTGCGCATCCACGAACCCGCACCACCCGGGGCTCGAACCCAGGACCTACTGGCTTCGCGCGCGAGCACTTAACCATTAGACCACTGAGCCGGCATCCAACGGTGTTAATGTCTAACTTCAACCAATCCACGAAGTTGCGCTACCGTACACCATTGTCTTCAGTGAGTTCCTATCTCACAACAGACCTGGTTGAACTCCACTGGTAACGACTTCATGTTGAATTCTACTGTCACAGGAATCGTTTGCTGTCACTGTATAGCCGCTTACCTATCTGCGCTCTTATCATCACTTTACTCTGTAAAACGAATACATTTCTACTTTTGCGCACATTATTGTACCTTCTTTACTTTCGTAGTAGGTTAATAAAATAGTGGCATTCTAACATTTCACTTTTCAGGTACTGGTCCAGATTCATCTTCCAGAGGTCATGTTCCAAATCATCTCCTGAAAGCTGTAGAAGGCGCCATACGATTATCTCGAGATCACCATGCAGTTCGCAGACAACATAATGCAGGTAAATTGTTTATTACGTAGCTTTTGTTAAATTGTACCTATGCAACCAGTATTTTTTCTTCCTGTTCAACCTTAAGTCTAGGTAGTAAAAATGTTTGTAGGTTATCACAGGTCTGCCTGAAAGACCAGATAAATGTGCTGTTCGTTCGTTCTCTTGGTAGCGAATTTAAGGAAGTTTTAAACTGGTTTCTCAAATGGACTATGTCTTTCTGAAAAATACTTTATGTAAACAAAGCTTATTCACGTGTGTAGAAATGTGCTTATTCACCTTATTTTTAGTGCTAAAATTCCTCTCACATCTATATTTTTTGTACACTATGTTTGGACTATTTTTTTGAAATTTTATCTTCACAAAGTTTTTTTTCCCTAGCCAATTCTATCCACCGTGATCGATATTCAAAACACTTACACCGTAACTATCAAACTCATACTGAAATATCTCGTTTGGAAAGTGGTGATTGCTCAAGCGAACCCGAAAAACGAACTAGGGAAGCTAGCTGTACGCTGTTCACAAGACGTCTACGTTGTAAAGGTGATAGTACAAATATGATCGTCGAGTCAACCTCTCGAGAACCGAATGATTCAGGTCACAAACCAGATAAAGAAAGTGATCAGTTAACTTCTAATGAGAATTCTACACCTAATGCTTTAATTCCTGATTCATCAAACACTGTTGGTGATATTCACCTCCTTAGAGATTATTCGGCTCAGGAAATCGTCCATGACTCTAATGAACATGTAACAAACTCTATCAACCCGTCTGATCAATCTTCAAATCAGTTCTTGTCAAAAAACGCTTCATTCTCCTCTGTAGAAAACAAAATTGGCGAATTAGTTATTCCAGAAGTTTTGGGACTTACTCCACCTATTTCTCATGACCAGGACTGTGTTGAAGATAAAACTGCTTCACCTCTCACCAGGTCCGTTTTTCTTAAATGTTTTTTCAAAATTTATTTGCTACGACGGTTTATCTAAAATAAAGCAAGAGTGAATAACTGTCTATGTAGCTTCCTGTAAACGTTTTACGGAGGACCACTCAGATACTGTAAATAGCTTAGCTCTTACTGTCTTTATTGTTAGTACGTTCACGGAGAAATTATCTTTCAGTCGACATTTATCTGTTTATCATTCTAGTAAACAAGCGCATACTTGACCAATTAGTTGTTTTTAATAGCAGTCCAGGCCTGGATATCCAACGGTGACAATTCTGGTTCTTGAAACACTAAGTCATCGATTGATCAGGTGTGACACTGCATCCATTTCCACATTGTATCTATATCTTTTAGGGCTATTTCGTATCGTATAAAGTTAATTATAGAAAATCCAGAATATGTTTTGGTGAAACAATAGATCTATACTTATTGACCTATTGTTAACACGATGGCTATCTAACTTTCAGCAAGATTTTTTCTGTGTTAGTAAACTGAATATCATATAAAATAATATCTGTGTAAATTAGTTTCTTTGTTTAGATTTCACCATATGCTTTCAGAATTAAGTACTTGCCTCCATTAGTTTCAAGGTTCGAATATAGAACTCAATGTTTTAGACGATAAAGATTACTTTGATTAAAAAAGTGATATTCATTTTCATTCGAGGGGATCAGCTGCAGTTTGTACTCCCCTTAAAACTACATAGTAATTATTCTGCATAAAAAATCAAATACCTTTTAATCTTAAGTATTCTCGTTACTGCCAAGTAGATTAGTATTAATATCCTAAATCCTTTTAGTCGAATACCAAACAACAACAGTAATTATAGCTTGGATTCTGTCCAGTGGAAATAAAACGCTGATATAAAAAGACAGAAAATATCAACCATCAATTGAATATTTATCTCAAGAACTATCTCACCAAGAAAATGCAAAAGTAACGAAGTATATCAGAATAAAAATAAGTTTGCAGTCAGCAGAAAATAGTTAACAACAGTGTTTAACGATGATCAAGCCAGAAACGTGGGTTCGATTGTTATGATTCTCTAAGGTTAGTAGTAGCAAGTTTGTTGTAACGTACAAAACACATGCCATTTTATAGTTTTATTTACGTAATAATTATAGATATACCTTGTTTCTGTAGAAAAATACCGATTCACCCAGAAGATTCATTCGCCCATACTAGTAGCAATAACAGCCGGTCACTCTGTACAAGTTGCCATTCACATTCTAGATCGGACCATTCTTTAACAGAGTCAGACCACTCTGAAACCTGTGGTGGAGGAATAGAAAACCAAGAAGAGGGTGAAGTTGCTGATGACGTAGACGATGACGATGACACTGAGGTGTTCAATTCTTCACCTTATGCAGCTCATACACGCAAAAGATGTTGGTCTCGTCCATCACCTACCAGTTGTAAAACTCCAAAAATTTCCTCAGATTTACATGTTATTGAGTCCACAAACGTTTCGATCTCTGAAAATTCAAAAAATATTTCACCATACCCAAATATTGAGCAGCGGAGATGGAGTAGATGTTCACAACACTATGAAAAAGACGGTTCCAGGAACTCTAGTTCTGGTTTTATGGATTTGACTTTACGAGCATCTCCCGGATACGGTAAGTACTTTTGTTCTGCGGTCTCTTCCGGCCTTTAGCATTGGTTTTGTAGGTGAACCTGTACCATATTATGAAGCTAAGGTTTTGTCATTAAGCACTATATTTAACACAGGCTCCTACTTCAGTTTGGGCTCATACCCAAGTACCTGGTCAATACGTTAATTTAATCTGATTGAAAAAAACATAGGTTCCTCATTTGTAGTGTGTATGTTTACTGATAAGTGCATGCAGTATGAATGAGTATTAGATGTGCTGCTTCCGACGAGTTATTACTATAAAAGTATTTTACATCACCAAGTTGTATAAAATAAAGGGTCCTTTAAGACAAGAGAGTGCTTAGTATTTAGTCTGTTTACGTTTGAGGTGTGCAGTAACATGATATTTATGGGGCCTTCAAATTTCACAGTTCACTCAAATACCTTGCTAAGCTCGAGTGTGGATAAATTCAACTCCCTCTTTCGAAATATTACCAGACAGGGTGGCGTTTGTCGTCTCTTTTACTGAAACCCTACTCATCACATTGTCAAAATGTTTCTACATAAGCTATAGGTTGAAGATGGAGAGCCAATGTCTAGACTGCGTACTCAGTACAAGAGGGTACTTATGGAGTTGGATCCTGATGATCATGGTTGACGATTTGGCTACTGACTGCTATGAGAATATATCTCTCTATGTTACTTCACTGTTCTGTGTGTCAAACGTTAATGTCAAAGGCAATCGATCAGTATCACAACCTTTATGACTATCACGAATAAAGAATGGGTATTATATGCTCGCATCTGCTGGGATCACCGGGTAAGTAATATTGAGGTTAGACGCACAAAGTATTAGGGAATGATGGTAAATCAGTTGATGAGGTTGGGAATCTTCATCGACTGAGATGGTTGGACCACGTGTTACGTATGTCTGAACACCGATTACCACGACGCCCAATACTAACCGGTGTTGGGGATGGTTGGAAGAAAGTTAGGGGCGGCCAAAGCAAAACATGGCATCAGTGCTTGAAGTCACTAACTTCTAGTCTGAGACATGTTGGTAGATGCAGACTACTTAGTTGGGGTCCGCGTGACTATCGTAACCAATGGTTGGAGACTCTTGGTGACATGGCTCAGAATCGATCACGATGGCGTAGGTGTATACACTCTATGTCTTCCCTTAAACTAAGAGATTAAAATCGCTTCATATCTTTCTTTCTAAGAACTAATTCTTTCTTCGTGTACTATATCCTTATTGCAATCTTTCTTTTATATATTACCACCTCTGAATTAACTACTTTTATGAATCCGGTGTCCATCTTGTTGTGTTCATGAGGTATGGCAACTTGGACCGATGCACATATGTGCCTGGTCCTACGTTGTAACTGACTGACTGATTATATGTTCTATAAAAATATGCTTGCAAACAATAAGTGTGTCTGTGTCATCTTATTTCTATGTAGTGTACTCTTTCATCGCCTTAATCTTACTCAGCAGGCCGCTTTGTGAAATGTTATGAACTGTTCAAACATGTCCATGCCACAAAGTGGTTGGCTTTCGAAACGTATCACCCAATAAAATATCTAGTGTAGCTAATATGATATGATATCGTTAATCCTTTCTAAACTTCTTTTTTACAACATCCTCACTTAGATGCAGACTATAGAACTAAAAAGTCTCTCTGTTAGTACCGTTTGCCTCTCGAAGAGCCGTATTTGAGATTCCAACGAAACCTCTTTTCATTGGGTTGATCTGAAAACTAATATTATGTGCTAATCTGGCTACTCTGTGCCAATGACCGTGTCAGATTGTGCTCTAGAGTCGAAACAGAACTAGTTAGCTGGTATCCCATCGATAGTAGTTCATGTGAAGCTAGGTCAAATGCTTAAACAAAGTCTGTTATAGATTATTGCGGTAGATCGTAACACAATAGTCTACTGACAGTGTCAATGACTTCAACTGTGCCGCATATATATTTGGTGCCCCCTTGTACCAATATTTATGTGTTCAAATAAATAAATAAAACTCTGCCACTACTTCTAAAGTACTGGTCTAACCTTAGGTGTTCCTGTGTATGGATTGATTTAGACAGATTGATTGCATATAGCATTACAACTGAGTATTATGCCAAGAAAACATCCCTTAAGAAGATATGTTATGGTGAAGGTCCAAATTTGTTCTTAGAGGAAAAACTTTTCAACGTTGAGTATGTGAATATTCCATGGTAATTACTGATAATGTTCTGGGCTGACTCGTGTTGAACCTTCACGACTCCCTAGTTAGGACCCTTGAGATGGTGCGACACAGTGGCTAGAGACGTTATCAGACATGGCTCAGAATAGAAGCCAGTGGCGATCTTGTTGTTACTTTCTTCATAAAACTGGATGTAACTCTAACTGAAAGAATTCTTTCTGGTCGTATTTTTCTTAACCGAACTGTTTCTCTTCTTCTTCTTCTTCTTCTTCTTCTTCTTCTTCTTCTTCTTCTTCTTCTTCTTCTTCTTCTTATTATTATTATTATTATTATTATTATTATTATTATTATTATTATTATTATTATTATTATTATTATTATTATTATTATTATTATTATTATTATTATTATTATTATTATTATTATTATTATTATACTTAGAAACTAGTTTTTATCCATGTTTTAGAATATTATACCTTCCTTTCTCTATCTCTTCACAACTTTATTTTTACTGTATGGCACATATACCTTTTGATACCCCTTTGTAACAACGTTTGTATTCAAATAATGATAATCAAAGTGCTTAAGGTCGTTAGTGTTTTTCAGATGAGCATAAGTGTTTCGTCTATTCATATTTCGCGGCTTTGTGGATCTTAGAAAACATCACTGAACTAATGAAAATCTATTTGCATTGTGTTTCCCTCAGTTTAAGAATATTGGGATCAAAAGTGTAATTATGTAAACATAAACAATATAAAAATGGATTCATCATGAGAATTTTTAGTGGACTAAAAGAAATGGAATAGAAATAACCCGATAAAAAACAATAGTATATCATAAGTTAATATTATAAAAGTTACATAAGCTATGATTATGAGTAACGTATATATTTCAACTAATTTACAAATCGAAGGTCCCAAAATCTTCACGAGTTCTTTACTTCCAGAAAAATTCGGATTAAGTTTCTCCTAAGCAATGTTTGTTTAGACTGTCCCAGAAATTTGACAGTTTGTGTGTGAGTAAAGGCACGTAGGCATCTTTACAGAGTATCAAACAAGTTTTGTTTAGTACAAGTCAATTGAAGCATATTGGGATGTTTGACTTAACTAGAATAATGGAGATAATGGAGGAAAGTGGAACGTTTGAAAAAGCAAAGTTTTCACCATCTTTATAGGTTGACTGTCCTCATTGCCAAAATACTGGTTTTAAACCATCAACTATAATAATCGATTTCACCCCTAATTTTGTCGACGCCCGATGATTGTTACAATCCTTGACATAAAGGCTGTGTTAAATTCTGTTAATCGATCGGTTCCGTGTCATTGCTTGTGAAAAGGGTATACTATAAGAATATCTAAACTTTCTGAAGGTTGTTTAATCGAAATTCAGTGATCATGTTATGGCTAATAACTGTCATTGGATTTAACGACCTCTACTTATATTTGTCATTTAACTTTTTATTAACTTTAGAAATAACGACTCTGTCTGAGTTTGGATTGATTGGTTTCCTGTCAGAAGATTCATACATGGAAGTAGAATACATAACTGATAAAGATTAGGCGCCCGCGACCGAAGGTCTTATGTTCGATTCTTTGTGGTGCTGTGGATTCGCACCGCTGAAGTCCTATACTAAGACAAAACGGTTATTTAGTTTTCCGGGTTTTTAATAGTGGACTAACTTAGGTCGGTTCACGATTTCAATGAAATACAACAATCTCCACAACCTCATCCTAAAAAGGTTATTTTGTTGAAAACCCTAACAAAATGCTGAGTCTTCAGGATGCCTTAAGTAACAATTCAATGATGCACTTTTCTTTAAAAGAAAAGTGTTGTTTCAAGTCTATCCTCCGTTATTCCCTTGACTCATGATAAGAGGGGAAGTAGCGAAGCGCGTTTATCACTTGCATTGGAAATCTCATCACCCTTAATGGATTATTTGCTGACGAAACCTCAGCATGGAATCAGGAAACCCGGTTGGTTCCTACAAACCTACTATACTTGTGGCGTTGGCGATGCATCCGTGCTCCAACTAGAGGACGCATGTACTTCTCAGAAACTCGTTCTTTTCTGCCTCATATCTTTGAAACGTAGGTTACTGGTATTCGACCATAGACGCCGTCGAATCATTGCTCTCGTATGTTGGGGCCACTGAGCGTGAAATTACTGAAGTTATGTGAAAGTGACAAGTCGGTTGATGCAACTGGAAATCTCCATCGACTAAGGTGTTGAGGACACGTACTAAGTAAGTCCAACAACCGCCTACCACAAGGCGCGATGATGGTTTGTGTAGAAATATATTGAAATATGTTTAGGAGCTGCCAAACCGAAATATGGCATCAATTCATGTGGTCATTGACTGTTGGATTGAGATATCTAAGCAGATACTGATTACCTGGTTGATCAGTAGTTGGGGACATAAGACGACGTGATTTTTAAGCGGTCTCAATGCCTTGAGCATCATAGTAATTTATTTTTATTCGTTTTATTCAATCGTTTCTTTTCGAACTATATTCTCAATACTTAATCTTCGTCACCATTATTGATATTGCTATTATTTGGACTTCTGGTTTTTATCTTGCTGATTTGATTTTCTCTTATCAAACTCAGTATAGCGACTTCGGCTGGCGCATGTTTATCTTATATTGTATGTTTATTATGACTGACATGAATATTCTAAACAATGGAATAAGGGTCTTACCACAGGAAACATTTTAAATCAGATTAGATCAGCGTATCCTTAATTTTGTAAACAAACTTGTTTGAATTCAATTTATTTATATGGTTTTCTTAACCCCATATTTTCAATAACACACTTTTTGGTCCCTGATTGTATGAATTCCAAATAAGCAGATATTAAATGACAGTAACTCATAAATGTCAGTAATTTTTTCCTTCATATTTATGAACTTAGCTAAATTTCCATATTACGTTTCCGCTGTAGTTACTCGAAACGTTATATGATATTTAGTTTGTTTAACGAAACTGAATGTCATTACTGTGTATCTGTTAGTCCACCATTCTGTGTTCTTTCAGTAGGTTGGTTATATGACCAGTCTTCATATTAATATGAATAGTTTGTAATACGTCTCCACCTTGTAGCCTAAATTTTAATTCATACAACATACTGGGATACGTGTGTTATAAGGATACATACACAAGAGTTATGTAAAGAAATTGGGCAAAGCTTGCGTAAGGACCGAGAAGCCTGGTGGTCGAAGCGTGCTAATGAGCTGGAAGCAGCAGCTACATCTGGTAATTACCGGAAGCTCTTCCAGCTCATCCGAGCCACTGGCAGCAAGAATTCTGGTGTGAGTGAAACAATCTGCGAGGATGATGGGATGCCAATCACTAACATCCATCGACGTCTTGGACGATGGGCAGAATTTTTCGAAGGGCAGTTCAACTGGCCTGCTGCTCCGGAAACATCGGTCAGACTGTCCTGCCCTCCATGGCCGGTGACGACTGATCCACCAAATGAGGCGGAAGTCCGCAAGGAACTCCAACTCTTGAAGCGTTACAAATCACCTGACACAGATGACTTACCTCCGGCTCTTTTTAAAGATGGTGGTGACTTTCCGACTAAGGAATTGACGACGTTGTTTACAAAGGTTTTGGAACCAGAGAGTGTGCCAACGTCATGGAATGAGTCGATAGTTGTCCCTATCTTTAAAAAGGGTTCACGTCGTTCCTGTAACAACTATCGGGGGATAAGTCTACTTCCGATTGCGTCCAAGCTATTGGCTTCCGTCATTCTTCGTAGGTTGTTCAAAACCCGAGAAAGATTGACTCGCGAGGAGCAGGCTGGGTTTCGTTCTGGTCGAGGATGTATTGATCATATCTTCACCCTCCGCCAAATGTTAGAACACCGCCATACTTTTCAAAGGCCAACAATCGTAGTGTTTCTTGACATCAGGGCTGCCTTCGATTCGTTGGATAGGACTGTTCTCTGGGATTGTCTATTGAAGAAGGGTGTGCCTGAGAAGTTTATTAACATCCTAAAAGCCCTGTATAAAAACACCTCAGGCAGAGTGAGGGCATACAACCACCTCTCTCCATTGTTCCATTCGAGCAGTGGGGTTAGGCAGGGTTGCCCAATCTCACCATTCCTCTTCAACTTTGCCATCAATGACATTCTGGAAACAGCTCTGATGAATGTAAGTAATGGTGGTGTGGATCTGTTGCCTGGAGAAAGACTTCTCGACCTTGAGTATGCGGACGATATTGTCTTACTGTGCGATAATGCCCAAGGCATGCAATCCGCACTTAATCAGTTGGCAATCAATGTCCGTAGGTATGGTATGTGCTTTGCACCTTCGAAGTGCAAAGTACTTCTACAAGACTGGCAGGATTCCAATCCTGTACTCACCCTGGACGGTGAGCAGATAGACGTAGTCAAGAAGTTCGTGTATCTGGGTAGCTGCATAAGTGCTGGTGGGGGTGTGAGTGATGAGATCAATGCACGAATAGTGAAAGCCAGAGCGGCTTATGCCAATCTGGGCCATCTATGGCGCCTTCGTGATGTTAGTCTGGCCGTAAAAGGTCGGATCTACAACGCGTCGGTGAGAGCAGTTTTGCTCTATGCTTGTGAAACCTGGCCTCTCCGAGTTGAGGACATTAGACGACTCTCTGTGTTCGATCATCGCTGTCTCCGAAGGATTGCTGACATTCAGTGGCAACACCATGTCAGTAATGCAGAGGTTCGGCATCGTGTGTTCGGGCACAGAGATGATAACTCAATTGGTGTCACCATCTTGAAACACCGACTTCGGTGGCTTGGACATGTTCTACGAATGTCGTCCCAGAGAATTCCACGTCGTGCATTATTTGCCGACTCTGGGACTGGTTGGAAGAAGCGGAGAGGTGGTCAGTGCATGACATGGTGTCGTGGCATGAAAGAAAGCTGCAAAGGACTGGCTTGTGTTGGTCCTTCACGACTCCCTGGCTGGGGTCCGAGAGATGGTGCTACACAGTGGCTAGAGACGTTATCAGATATGGCTCAGAATAGAAGCCAGTGGCGATCCTGCTGTAACCTTCTTTTACTTTCTTCATAAAAAGTGGTTGTGTCTCCCTTAACTGAAAGATTTCTTCCGATTGTACCTCTTCGTCATTACTCTCTTTTTCTTTTGCGTTCCTTAGTTTTTTTTCTTTCTACTTCTCTTCGAATTCCCATTGTTTTGTGTGGCGCATATATATTGGCGCTCTCTTGTACCAATATTTATGTGTTCAAATAAATAATAAATAATAACATCAATAAAGTATAGTATAACTCAGTAGTCTGGAGAAGAACAGATAACTGGTGGTAAATCTCATCCTTGATTGCATCCGGGCTGCAATCTGTCGGAGTATAGGCGGAGATGACGAAAAGACATCTTTTCTCACGCCGATTTCTTCTCACTTTGATGGAACTTTCCAATCTAACAACACATAACCGATTGTTAATGGGGATCCAATCGATTAGTGCTTCCTCAACTCTAGCGCTTAGTGCGACACCAACGCCAGCAAGACCAGACGAAGATGCCACAGGGTCCCCGGATAAGCGCACGTGAGACAAGCTTTTCTAAGCGACAGATGGAGATCGAATTTGTAGTACTTCACCGGAGTCTTGAATACGGGTCTCGGATAGACAACACACGTCGATATTAAGACTTTCCAAAGACATAGCCAGCCCTATCTGTTGTCTGACCTGCATAAATGTGCGACCGTTGAAGGCAGCCAGTTTGAATGGTGCACGTGGTTTCAGAAAAACTGCTTCAGTTCTCGTATTCGGTGGTAACATACCATTTTCAACCGGACAGTGACTCGAGAACGTTTAGATACAGTCGAATTTCCACCAAAGACGAGCCGCTGTATAAGTATAAAGGAGGGTGAATAATGTGGAAAATAATAATAATAATAATAATAATAATAATAATAATAATAATAATAATAATAATAATGACAATAATAGTAATAATAATAGTATTAATAATGACAATAATAGTAATGATAATTATTTGAATCGACTGATTGTTTTTCGCATCGAGAAAAGTAGTTGCCATAGACATAGAGTTCATCGTTTGTGTGTGGGCTGTGATACTGCCCGGGTGCCCAAACTGAAGCAGGTGGTTATCTTAAGGGGCCACTCCCCGAGCCTTTGACCTAAAGGTCTAATTCACAAGGCAGTGGAGCATCGTAAGGAGATGCAGTCCCATGGTAGCCGGTGACCAACGATTGGTTCATACGCCATTCGTTCCCGCAGGATACTGGAGCCCATGTGCACCATTGATTTGGAATCCGGTTAAAGAGCCGGACATTCGCTTTTCGTCCTCTCATTTTCGTAAACAACACCCCCACCACGAGAAGGCAATGAGTAGGACTTCCCTGATGTATCTTGGAATTGTCGAAACGCAAAACGAACTTTGGTTTGTCGGATTAGATTTGATTACTAGCAAAAATCAGTAAATATATAGTTATTTTCTCATCCAAAACTTTTAAAAAGACCACACATGACCTTTGTATGTAATGGTCAATTGTGTTTAATGGAAGTGTAATAGTTTTAAACCTATCAGTGCTTTTGTTGTTTTTACTTTAAGAAGACCAACACCCCTCCAATCCAAATAATTCAAGATTTTCCCATTCACCAGAAAGTCATCGGAATCATGGGTCACAATATCCCTCATCCATTTCCAGATCACCTTCATTAAGAAATTCTCGTAATGAACAATATCGTCATCATCCTAATCGGTCATCTAACTCAGCTTCTAAATATCATCCTTGTCAGCGTCATTACAAATCCCCAGAGAGGAGTGCTCGAGATTTCACCTCTGGAAAGCACAATAAATCATCTGTTTCATCAAATCAGCCAAAAAGACGTACTCACCATTCTCCAGTACCACTAAATAATCCTAATTCATCTTTCCGCCGATTTGAACGTGAACGAATAAATCTTCACAGCAGACGGTTTCGCGCTTTATCTCCGGTGATAAATAGGAATGCTTATAGAAGAATTGGCATTAATTCATTAAAAGTGTCTGGTCCACGTTTCAACCGTACTCATCACCAAAGAAGATTTTAACCATATATGAAAATTATTGTACAGCTTCAAATCTCACGTCCCTTTTAGAGAAGAAATCGAAGAACAAATATATTAGCTATTTTTCCTTTGGAAGTTATTCTGTCTGTATTTCCTTATTTTTGTTAGCTTCTAATTTTTGGTTGCCTACCATGTCCTCAGTAAAAATAAAAGTCTATATTAAGCGGTGCTGCTACTTCTTTGGTCACATGTTCCTGTATCGGTGTTTATTTTCTATGTATATTTGATCAGTTTTTACTTTTTAATTCTACCAAGGTTACTGTTGCACTCAAACATCTTGATTGTATATTGTGCTAAACAGTAATATAGAAACGATTCTGAAGATTGAGGAGTATGTGACTATTAGGTTTGATTATTGCCCATCTAATTAGAGATTAAAATGTTTGACATTCAGGTGTGATGTTGTAGAACTAAGTTAACCAGCTAAACTTGCTAGCTTGATTATAAAAATAAATGCCTATGTATGGAGGGGACCAGTCATTTACGAGTCGAACACCTACGATGAATTAATTAAATTTTTAAATGGCTAACAATTATAAATCCAGCAGTTTAATGCGAAGATACCTTTAGTTTCTAGACATTCTATGTAAATTAAATGACATTAGACAGTTTTCCTATGATCTCGTGACATAATAAATACATTTACTTCATGTATGCTAACATCTTTGTAATCTCAAGCTGACATATGTAGCATTATTACAAAAACAGTATTAATGGATATAATCCTTTGGTCCTACAAAACGTTCCCAGATTTGGCACGTTATAACAATGAGTGTAACGTCCACATTGAATTTCGACATCGGTTAGACAGAAAAGATTTAGAGGAATAAAATTTGTTTCATTTCTAGGTACATACATGTAAGCTGTACACTTGGTACTTCTTGATTATTTGTTTCATTTAAACTTGCTTGATGTAAAATGCTAGAGGCATATCAATCAAGTTTACACTTGAACTCTAAAATGTACCTGAGTACGAAGAAAATAATTGTACAAATATCAACCCTCATTTGCTAAATAACGTTTCTGGATTTATTTTCATCACCAATAAGTGTAAGCATGTGAGAATCTCATTTATCATGATAAACTAGTAATTAAACCGTGCAACTTTCAGCCGTTGGGTTACAGATTCGAACCACGCTAAACCTAATTATGTTTGAGTGGCGACGTAATACTACTAACCTCCAGAGTGCAGTCGAAAAATGGACATGTCAATTGTAGTTGGTAGAAAAGTTATACTTGGTTTTTAATTAGTTTCCATTTTAATGCCCCAAATTTCGTTACGTTAATAGGTTGTGGTTCTTACGTTCCACACGAAGTCGTTAAATCATAATCCATAAAGGATAGAATAGACGTACGGGATCAGTTTACTAGACTCCAGCAAATGACATCGGTTTATGCATAGAAATCTGTTACTCTACACAATACCATTTGACTTCCCCTAGCTGGTTGTGAAGTAGCGAATTTCCCCTCAGTCTTGATATTAAGCTTGAAATTTGTCTGTTTCTGAAGAATTCGCTATCATTCGTATTCCATCTGTAACTAAACCACATGAGTAGCATTTGAGTGCACTGAAAGTGCAATTGATGGCATTAAAAGTTGAAGTGCATTGAGAAAATAGGTATTATATTGCTACCATCATCAATAGTATTATTCGGTTTCCTGCATGTGTGTTGTTATGTACTCTGGTGACGAATGACTCATCAGAGTACATAACAGCACTCACATCCAGGAAACCGAATAATATTATTGATGATGGTAGCAATATAATACCTATTTTCTCAATGCACTTCAACTTTTAATGCCATCAATCGCACTTTCAGTGCACTCAAATGCTACTCATGTGGTTTAGTTACAGATGGAATATGAATAATAATAAATTCTTGGGCTGTAAGCTATCAGGAAGAAAACCATATATACTTAGCTTCATTAATGGTAATGTTAAATAACCAAATCAGCAATGCTGTGCTAATCAAAGAAATTTTATAGAAAAAAGTCTTTTCAAAACAAGATGTTTGTACTTGTTTCGGTGCATGGACCTCTTCGAATGTTTTGGTGTTAACACGTACAGTTTATATTTTGATTTGGCCCAAGTGATTGGTAACTGTTTGGAATAATGAGTATCTATGAAATGGATAAAGGTTTGTTGACACTTTCTCCTCATGATATCTTCGTCAATATACTTTGTCACTACATTTACGCCAGGTTGATATCTGACGTCTTGAAAGCTACAATCTTATCCATAAAAGCCAATATATTGGGTGAACTATTAGTTTACGTAAGGCAGTTGGCTACGGTTATGATCCAAACAAATTTTGGTTGGTTGAAAAAACTGGGTTCTCTTGGTGGTAGTCAGACATTAATCCGTTTATCTGATATAATTCGAAGATACTGGAGTCATTTATAATCTGTAGTCTGGTATATCAACAAAGCAGTTTTCATTGAAATGTAAAGCAAAAATGAACTTTTCGACTGTCTGTTTGAAATAGACATCAACTTCACTCACTGAATAATTCCCACCATTCCAGTGGGAAGGAATCCCGAGGCAAATACATCGGCGATTTTAGTGCTGTATTCTCAGATACTTGTGAATGTTTCTTCATATCATTCCAGTGGGGCATCCCTTGTACAAATTAAATTTTGTTTTCATGTGCATCAATGGTATCATTCTGAAAATAGTTCTAAAGACCAGGTCCAATCTCGTTTTAGACTTGAAACATCTACACAGTATCACTCAACGTGTATATATTACTGAGCCTTCTAAATGGTTTCGACTGATTGGAATGTTCATCAAGCACTCTTCACCGTACAACAACTACCTTATGGTCCTTCAGAGTCTGTCTCAAAAACCACATGTCCTAACTTCGGGAAGTAAAATGATTTAAAAGTGCCCTTCCGTTCAGGCATGTGAATAGTGAGAATGGTGCGAGTACATATAAGTCAAGCCCACTTAATCTTTTTCCATTGGGTGTTATTTGTAACAGTAAGGACAAACTAATCTGTCTGTTTACATCCTCATGTTCGCAGAGTAGGTTTTCCTGACGCCATTTATTGTCTGGACATGTGGTAAGACGCATAAGTTGAATGTCATGCTACGATGAATGTGTATACACATACCTATAAACCCCGATCTTTCTTGTCACTCAAAATTCTACTTATTTCCTTTGAATACCCGTACGAACGAATTTCGAATTGGTAGTAGGGGATCCACAGAATGTTTGCAGATTTTCGAAAAGCCTTATCGTATACAACTTTTAACCAACAGCCAGATGATGTAACTTTCCATACATGAAGTGCTTCTTGTTTGGAAAACCAACTGATATATACATATATACAGAAAAACATACCCAGAATACTAAATTACTACACTTCTACTTAAACATCTAGGCAAGTGCTGTAAACGAGTTGTTTGTTGATAGTGTCACGCTGAAGATGGGAGTTAAACTTTAATCTGAAGGATAAATATGCTTGTCTTGCCTTAAATGTCTCCAAACCTTTCAAATGTCCTCAGTAATATAAATGTTTTGTAACTAAACAATCACCCCATGTCCGTTTAATTATCTACACACCCAACTCCAATATCAATCTTAAAGTTAAACTGTCATCTGGACTAGTCTCCACATCAACAAAATGCTTCAAATATCAAAAACCTGTAAATCAATTTTGTACGTGTTCGTCATTTAACTGGTTATTCAGTTCGAATAGTCCAATTGCCTAAAATTACATCAAGCTAAGGAACAAAATTTTTTCAACCCTCACAGTAAATTTGAATACATTTCTACAAGCGTTCGTGCATAACTACACTCAACGGAGATAACCCAGTGTTTAGGTAGACAGTGATTGGGCATACATATTACATGTTCTAACTACCTCAGTTGGTGAAGATTCACTACTTCATCAAGTGGCATTCTATCCTTGCTTAGCACCTTGCGATTAGAATCAACATTGTCCACTCGATGTTCCTAAAATATACGAACAATGTTTCAAAGTCATCTCATGGACATAACAAAGTAAAACAGAAGTGATTAACTGTATACTCGTCTTTTGGTTGGTAAACGGATATTTAGCCTTCACTACAAGTGACGCATGTTGACGAAAGTTAAACAGTAGCAAAAGGTCAAGGAAGACCAATCGAACTTTGGAGGTTCTGCTAGACTAGTATATGCTTAGGAACGTATCAGTGGGTCCATTACCAATGAGGGAGCAAAGAAGATTGAAATAGAAACGAACAAAGACTACGTGGTAATCGAGAGGTGGTGGGTAACAAAAACAAAGTAATGGGAACAGTAGTGGTGATGGGTAACATGAAGCAATTGTTCAGGAAGATAAGGGATAAAAAGTCGGTTGTTAGCAAAATTATCTCTCGGAGAGATGGACTACTTTCAAATCGAGCAACCAGAATTATGAGCAAAAAACGCTGCAGCAGTTTAACTGTTATCTAGCTACAGTCTAACTACCCAGTACTCACTAACAGCCTGAACAGTAGAGCACTATCGATCTCACAGAAATCGAGAAGGCAACGACTCGAAGTGAAATATAACAGCTGACTAATTGTTTTATGAGGTCTATCTTCAGCAGTTAGATTGACTGACAAGTTAGAGAATGGGAACCGGGATATAATTTTTCCCAACTGATTGTGACCAACGATCATTCCCATTTATAAACGAGGATGAAAATCATAATGTGACAACCACAGAGCAGTCCATAAGACTGATAATGAACCTAAAACAATATCATTTACTATCATCCAACACTTAGCTATTTGAGGTTTGTAAACTTAAAAAAACTTATTCCTAGACCTAGCACTGACTAATTATTCATCATTTGGAGTTTTAGGACATACATAATTTTACTGATGCTCAGCTAGTAAGATTCCTTAACGTTGAAGAAATATAATTGTATAAGATTACGGAAAGATAAGATACAGAATCTGGTTGACGATTACTAAAAAAAAAGTCCAAATAAAACAACAGTACAGATGGTTTATAGAAAATCTAAGTTTCGTATGTAGCAACACACTTAATGTAAATAAACATTACGATTGTACTTAAAACAATTAAAACTTAACAAAGATTACTAAAAAGTATCAACAATGAACAATGTTTATGAACCGTGCAGTTGCACAATTTTATTCAGATTACGACTAAAGTACAATGTACAAATCTGCTT